CAGGGAATCAAATTACTGCCAAAGTTAGAGGATGCGTTGCGGGCTTTTTCACTTTTCACATCATTTCCAACTTGATATTCGTCACAACGATCCGTGTGCTCGTGACCGTACATCTCGACTGGAGTGACGACGAATGCAAATTCACCGCTTCGGGTCACCTTGTGTAAAGAAGGCTTGTTTAACTGTAATTTACAACCCAAAAACTGCCCGACAAGGGTCTACATTTAACCAAAATGGAAGTTTCATATTCACCTGGCCCTCCCCACCTCAGATAAGTATATTGTGCGCAATGATACACCTGTTTTCAGGTGTGTAATCCCGCAAAACCAGCTGAGTGCATAACGAATAACAAATATTACTGAAAGCTATCCACAGATGTACTTATAATCGTCTTGATCCTTCCAGATTCCACCCTATTTTCCTTACAGACTTGATGAAGTGAAAGGAGTGGATGGAGAAAGAGAACTACGCGCATAATACAGTTCCATTTATTGGGTCACAATGGTTCGCATAGGTTCCAATCAGGTACGTGAAAATCGCTGACATTGATAAAATGTTTAATGGTCGCCTTGACCTCCTGAGTGGTTACAACACTGCGTGTTCTAAATGTTAGGCCAAGGTGGTAAAACGTAAGATGCAATTTGAACATCTGTAAAACTTACTGAATCACTCGTTATCATGGGATTCCCTCCCATTTGTTGTCGCGATGAGAGGCACATGATCGTTTACACCCTCATTTGTTATTGGTTAAAACCGTCATGTCATTAGGCATCGAACACATTACAACCCATCTTGGTGCCCCGGATATCCTGCTGCTGATAAAAAGTATGTCACGTCGCATGCCGCCAATGTATATACATTGTCTGCAGACGGTAAAAAAGCGTCCCCTCTCTTACGAGAGTAGAAGACTCATATCAATGCCTACTCTGCGTGAGAAGAGACTGAGATGCTCTCATTGATCAACGTTTTATTCAACGTATGCTTTCAATGTCGATCGTGATGAAATTTTGCGCATTAAAACACTGAAAGAGGATATCGTGTTTTAGTGGCCTAGACGTCTTTCAGCACTGCCGGGTGTGGAGACAATTTGTGGACGATTTGTGGGTACACTTCGCTGCCTCCCAATTTTTGGAAGGGTCCTTCCAGTACCGCTTCTAATGTGCTCCTCGTCCTTACTGCCCTGTCTTTCCTGCATAAAATATTTGACCGCTCACTAAAGGCGTAAGCTCTTCATATGAACTTGATGACGTCATGCAACTGTCAAGCCGAGTTCGCGCAACGCCTTAGTTTGTTAGTGTCAATAAGGAATTGAATGAGATGCAAAAACGGTGATTTGAAAACTGATAACGTAATTTTCTACAATTGTGCGTAAGCAAAATTCGATGGGTGTGCGGTGTGAGTTGTGAGTAGAAGTTAGCTTCCTCCATACCTTAGCCGAGGCATGTAGATGAGGCATACCCAATTTTGCACAGGTTCCTGTCCAGCAGTATGTTTAGTGGTACGGCTGTCAATGGGACATGTGACTGAATATCTGTGCTCTGAACATTTTTTTTTACTGTGTGAAGATGTTCAGGTAACTGCAATTCACACCTGATGCTATAATTTCACTATCAGCATGGGGACAGCATTATTGTCCAAAAAAATCACTTCAGAAAAAGGCACGGGAATTTAGTCAGGTTTCATAATGTTTTATTGGGACAGGAGCCGTGGAAAATTCCATTGTGGGGTTGGTTGATGTAGCATTCGGGGATAAGCCCAGTGCATGACGGCAACGTGCACAAAGTTTCAGGACATTTTTACTTTTAGAGTGCACTTGCCTGGCAGGTAGTGCCACGAATGAAACACAAGTGCTGCTTTTGGGGCAAGATTTAGACTGATACACCCCATTGACATATTTGGTGTGCCTTGCCAATTAGAAAAAAAGCTAATACCAGAAGCCTAAAGCTGTTTCAAATCAGTACTTTCAAATCTATGTCGATGTCTGTGTACCTTCAAGAGTGCGTATTTGAAAATGCCCGTAAGAAATGCCCTGAAAAGTAAAATAAGGATGCTAGATTCAGGATCATGTTAGTGTTAAAGCCTTGGGAGATTTTGTGGATGTGTTTCAAACGATTTAGGTTTTGTAATAATTGGAGCATGTGGGGTAAAGCAGAAGCCTATATTGGGAATAGAACTTGCCACATCTGGCACAAGATTCAGGATGCCTTCAGGCCTAACATTTTGCTGACACTTGTGCCATAGCTTGTAGCCTAGTTGATTGCTGGGGAGTAATTTCTACTGAGTAGGGTGAGTTGACGCCCCATAAACAACAAGCTAAATAAAAAACAACAAGAAACAAGAAAAACAAGCTAACAATCACACAGCCTGCCGGTTTTGTCTGTCTTCTGCTGCGAACGCCATCTAGTTCCTAACGCGGCGAAGTCGCCTCACTGTGACTCCCTCCATCGGCTCCGGAATACTGCGCCTGGTCTCCGGCGTTTTGCCGGCCTGGCGGACTTCTGACGGCATGCATTCTGTGCCATCTGGATCGCAGCCAGGTACCCAAACGGTCCACCGGAAGCCAGCTCCGCGGCGGCGGTGCGCGCGCTGTGCGGCGGAACGTTGGCTACCGGTGCTCGATACCAGCGCTGTAAGATGGCCGCCCACTAACAATATTCGGCGCGTCGCTGAATGGCCGAATGGCGGAAATTACACGCCGGATTGAAAAAATATCCCTTGTAGTCGTGTACGCGCGGATAAGATTGGCCAGGATTTTTCTAAAACCACAAACGGATAAATTTCAAACATGTAACAACAGTGCTCTTTGCCACTATGCGTATTTGCAAAGAGTCGACCACATTTTTTGCTATCAGTAATGCGCAAGACAGCAATAATAGCAAAACAGCATCCGACCGCTTGTATTTCTCGTAATGCCAACCAGAGCGGAATATACTAAAGTATAACACGAGGTCACAAACACAAATAACAGCAAAAACACGAAACATCTTGGAAGCATCAGACGTAAGAAATCCAAAGCGCAAGTCGCTGTGGAGAATCAACATCGCCCAAGCCCAAACCAGACTTCTGATGGGGCAACAACGGCGTCACACTAAACGACATCCGGGATGGGTGACGGAGATTCTCCATCGCCGACGAGCCCGCGGCGAGTACGCTAACATTGTTCAAGAGCCCCGCACTGCTGACCCACAACAGCACCAGCTGTGCTTTTGCATGAGCCGGAAGACAGCTCAGGTACTGCTGGCCGAGATCGGGCCGACCAATACCCGGCAATCCAGCAGCTCCTCCACGAGCCCACAGGCGCTGCTCAACGCCTGTCGTCATGCTGAGGTACCGTCAGAACAGCTGTCTACACAATCTAGTCTAGTCTAGTCTACATCTGTCTACACAATTAGTGTCGTTTGCTTTCACTCAAGTTGAGCTGAAGCCTTAAAATAATCAAACAAATTGCTGAAACATGGCGCAAAATTGTTTCATTGCTATCTTGTCCTCTTGCTGTTTCTCGTGGAGCCACCGGAGTTTTTGCGGCGCTCTTCTTGCTGCTGTCCAGAATGTGAGTTATGACGGTTGGGGGGGGGGGGGGGGAGGGCTGCAATGGAGGCAAAAAAGACCATCGTTATAGTCAAGTGTCAGCTCCGCCTTACAGACATAGCCCAAAGACATGCCCCACCGGTTAGAAGTCGGCCCCGCCCTGCTGCAGCGACCAGGGGCAGTACTGTTCGGCCAGCTGGTGGTACGCGGAGCCGGGCGGCACGCGGCGCTCGCGCGTGTACCACCCCCAGGTGTGCACCAAGTGCGAGCTGTTCACGCGCTCCAGTACGGCGTCCCGCGCGTCCAGCTCCAAAAACAGGCTCCAGTTTTTCGATGGGATGGCGTAAAAACGCCGCCTGCAGCCGTGGGAGGGGAGAGGGTCAGGACAGCGTTATGGTGACCGCAGAGGGGCACATCTGTTGGCGGGCGGGGACAGGGCACAGCTGTGCTGTGTGTGAGTGACACAAGATTTCGAATTCACCTGTCGAAGCATTAAAAACGGGTGCACGTGTAGCCCGAGATCCACGACGTCAACAGCATTACGCAGCAGCACGCCACAAGCATACCCTAGACTGGAGGCACAGTCCGCCCTGAGCACGTCATACGTCGGATTACTGCGCATCGTTCGAACAGAGGAGACCCGCCGCCTGCCTCAGCCCTGCTCGGAACGTCTCACCTGGTCGCGATCAGCAGCGCTGCACCGCCGGCTGACGCTCTGCACTAATGGCGGCGTCAGCTGGTCTGACACTTTATCTGGACCGTCCTCTCCGTGGACGTAGCATGCCTTCATCAGCCACCGTCCGCTCTCACCGGCCATAGCTGATGCAGTGGTTCCCGCGCTCACCGGCCAATGATGGTGTAAAGGCCCCTGCTTACCGTCCATGGTTCGTGTGGCGGTCCCCGCTTTCACCAACCGTGGCTGGTGCAGCGGTCCCCACTCAGCGAATGGAGGTGGTGAAGCGGTCCCTGTTCACAGTCGGTAGTTGGTGCATAGACCGTCTGCTCTCATTGGTCGTAGGCTGGTCCCACTCACCGTTCGTCGATGGTGTAGCCGTCCCTTCTCATCGTCCGTCGGCGGTGTAGTGACCGTCCGCTCTCACCGTCCGTAGATGGTGTGACCGTCCGGTCTCACCGTCCGTAGATGGTGGGGTGACCGTCCGTTCTCACGTCCGTAGATGGTGTAGTGACCGTCCGTTCTCACCGTCGTAGATGGTGGGGTAGTCCGCGTCTCACCGTCCGTAGATGGTGGTGACCGTCCGCTCTCACCGTACGTAGATGGTGGGGGTCACCGCGCTCACCGTCCGTAGATGGTGGGGTGACCGTCCGCTCTCACCGTCCGTAGATGGTGTAGTGACCGTCCGTTCTCACCGTCCGTAGATGGTGGGGTGACCGTCCGCTCTCACCGTCCGTAGATGGTGGGGTGGTCCCCGCGCTCACCGTCCGTAGATGGTGGGGTGACCGTCCGCGCTCACCGTCCGTAGATGGTGTAGTTTCCGCAGTGGGTGATCGTCAGCGGCGGGTCTCGGAGGCCACAGCCCTCGATGAGCACCTTGGTGACGACGCCGGGCCCGTTGTGTCCCCAGTTGTACGGGTCGTAGCCCTCTGTCAGGCAGCTTGCCAGCAGCCGCGGCACGGCCGAGTCGCGGCTGAACTTGAGCACACCCGACGCCACGGCTCGCTCCGACTCCAGGCCTGCACCATCGTCCAGCGCTGCGGCCGTGGCGGCAGACGAAGGTCACGGGCCTGACCTAGATTGGCGGCTGATCGGGTCACGCGCCACTGGGTCCAGCAATCACCGGAGGACGCTGGTTGCCCAGCGATGGATCGCACGTAGCGCGAGACAGAGCAGGTCGTGCAGCAAAACAACATGCAACTACTACGGCAACAGCAGCAACTGCCCTATGCCTGCTACACATCACCAAAGGCGACGCAAATCATCATCATCTCCACAATGGCGTAGCTCTGAGGGGGGCAAGAGGAGGACAACTTGGGTTATAGAGGCTTTTCCCGCCATTAGGCCCCTCCTCGTCGCGTATCGGCCTGATTATATGCTCGGAATTCACTTTGCAGGCATTGGGGGCCACTTTTTGATTTTGTAGAGACATTATGGACACGGGTGTCCATTCGTTTTCTTTTGTGAGTGTTCTGCCCCCCCCCCCCCCATGTGTTCCCTAGTGTTGGCTTGGCCTCGCCATATTTTGGGATGGAACATTACAAAAACATAGAAAAGGGAGGGCAATTACACAAAGACGATCTTCTTTCATTCTTCCTCGTAATGTCGTTGCTATGGAGGGTGCAGCTGAATAACTTGAAGCCGCAACCTCAATATGACGTCCCCAATGAAGGGGAAGTTTTAAACATTGGGGTGAACCACCTTATAATTTGAGGTTTTCTGTCCGCCAAACGTTAGCTGTTGTCCGCATCCAAGCATGATACCGAAGCCCCTCATTCTTTGTTGTAATTTTTCAGAGGACATCACAACTGGGTAGCAGCTTTTTATTTTCATCAATATATAGTTTAAATGATGGATTCAGAGGAGTTAGAAAATGAAAAACCACACAGAAAAGAAAAATTTTACCAAGACAGATTTTGGATATGACTCCATGCTGGACATAGATCATCGCTGTCACTTTTAACGCGCGCCCGGGTGCCGGTTGGATGCCCTTCGCTCGGGTGGGAGGTCAAATTGAACCCCCTGAGATCTCAGGAACTAAGAGAGCTAGAAACACTAAATTCACAAGATGCCTTGACCTGTACGTGAACTCATTTAGGCCAAAGTTTGAATTTGCTAGGTCATGACCTTCGTGTCGAATAAGGTCAAACAAAGTCAGGTTCCAGATTAGTTTTCAAAGGGCCCCTGGAACCAAGGTAACTGTTCTAAGCAAAAGGGTACAGGCCCATTTAAGGTTAGTGACCTTTTTTAATCTTTAAAGATCATGGTGACTAAGATCATGCGAGACTGTATTGAGTTTTGCATTTGAAAAAGTGACTAAGGTTACGTTAGGCAGTATGTTCCTAAAAACAGAATGTCGATGTTGTATCGTAGCCTCGACAGCGTAGTTGTAGTTCATAGGCGCACCGCGAGTGGCGCCACTGTCGGGCGTCGCCAGGCAGTCGGCCCGGAGCCGCCGTGCCGCGCGCTTGCTTGTTCATACTTGGTAACTGGAACTCACGTTAACATTAATAATCGGTTTGGAGACACAACAGTCGACCCGAGTCATTTTAGGTCAATGACCTGCTATGGCCTTAAAGAAGTCCATGAAGGGTGTATAGTGCGGTTCCTGTTATCAACAAATTGCAAATATGCACCAGAAATTACCTCACGCAGCAAACCCCAGAGTAATACAACAAGCTGGTTTTGACTTTGGTCTGACCTTTATGCCTAACCCTAGATCAATGTAACTTGTTCATTCAGTTGTTGTGTTACCTTACAAAGTATCTCGGAAATGTGGGGCCTCGTCTAACACTTGTTGTTGGATCAGATTGAACGATTCCCTAGAAATTGCCTTCGCTGAAACCATGGCCCGACTTTGGCCGGCCATAGGCCAGCGACCTTAAAAGGTACATCTCCATTTTTGATGCCCAACGATTCTCAACTCATTTGTTTACAGCGACGCAAAATTTGGCGCGACTGTGCCGTGCCGTTCGGAAACCATTTTGGAAAAACCTTCGGGGGGTCAGTTTGAGCCCCCCCCCCCGAGCGCGTGCTAATTCGCCATCCCATAACTGTAGTACATCTGCAACAGATCCACTTTGCCTCGGTCTCTTATCCGAATAGCATGAAAGGTCATTTAGTGTGCAATGCGATTACACGGCCGTGGGCTGCCCTGTAACCAAGCTTACACTATCAAACTAACGGTTAAATGGCCCTCGTTGGCGGACCATATAAGGCCACTTGTCCTGGAAGACGAACATGCCACGACGCATTTCGCAACACTGGGAACGCAGCCAAAATATCTTGAGCGCTCTGTTGTCGTCGGGCTTACGGCCCGATCATTGGTGCCTTTGCACAAAAATATACTTTTTGGCGGGCGTTTTTCACCCTGCAGGCAAACGACTTGTAGAAAGACGATGTCTGAACTGCCCCTTAATCGTTTGTGTCGAATTATGTCACCTGTGACATAAAAAGCAGTTATGCTTGGTTAAATCTTGACAAACACGTGGCACCATTAATTGGAAAAGTGTTATCGTTTTTGACGGCGCAAGGCCTTTTGGACAATATCACGAAACAGTTTGAGCTTCATTTGTGTGGTCGTTTTCTTTTTAATTATGTAGCTGCGCTCTTCTACCATTGTAGGGAATTCAACGATTCGAGATCAAATCGGACATTTAGGTCACAAGGGTTCCAGGTCTCACGTGTATCGCTGTGTGCAGCAGGAAATGGTGAAATTGAATGATGCCCAATCTTACGCTTATAATTCAAACTCTTTTGTAGGCTGGTCATTTAGCATGCTGAAGACCTGGTTCACATAAAATTAAAATGACACCTAATATAACATACATCCATTACAGAGAAATTTACGCACACCTCAGGCTGCGCAACAAAAATATAATCCACATACATGTAGCGGTTCAGTGAATGGCACATGCATTTGCTACACCACTATTGGAACAAACTCATCCTCAACGTTGTTTTGACAGCGCATTTTTACGCACGCAATTCAAGCAGCTTGCTTTTAATCTTAATTCTACACAACTATCAGTCAATATAGGTCGATTGCTGGGCATCCTTGATAATAATCATGGCATTGAGTACAATTATTGATGCCATGGCGTAGGTCAAATGCAAAATGTGGTACGACGCCCAATTCAGAGAGACATTATCCGCAACGCTCGTGATTCACACAAAATTGCACTTTAGATAGAAGAGCATTTCACAACGGAGGGACAGCGACCTTCTCCAAGGACGACAAAATCAAACTCGAGTAGACTGTATAATTTACCGAGATGGCTTGGCCTCCAAACCTCGTAACTGTATTCATCAATGCATCCATATATCTATCACCATAATGCAGTCGCCTCATAGAAATGAAACAGATATGTTTGCTTACTGAGCAACGCACATATTAACGCTTTGACAACCCATACCCTGGCCATGTTAAGTCGTGTTTGCCCTCACCGCCAGATCGCACGTAACAGCTGAGCGCGTAAGCGATCAGCAGACTGCGCAGCTTGAGCCACACGACACACAAAGGCCTGACATGTAATGCTGAAAAGCCACGGAGGACGGAAATAACCAAAGTCCTTAATGACCAGCCCTGTCCCGTATCCAACCAAGAGTACGTGCTGCCGGCCCTGGCCGCCTTCGAAGTGTGCCTTCAGCACGCTAAGGCGGCTTCTAGAGATCTGCCTTCTTCCATATCAGAAGGTGTCTCCAGTTTCGCCTCCTTCCGTGGATTCGTCCTTGCAGGACTGCTATACTGTTTAATTTGGAGGTTTTTAGAAATGACACAACAATTTGCAATGTAAATTGGCTCTCGTCAGAACAAAGTGTGTAAGTCCGTTGACACAAAATAAGCGGGGGGATATTCTGGGCGACTCGGTTCACCCCAAACAGGCATAAAGATAGACACCCCTATTTGAGAGCATTTTACAGTAATGTTGCCTTTGACACCCGGAGCGCCTTTGCAACCTCAAATGGGGAGCTTGTCCGCCTGGTTACGCCACAGTATCTCGGCAAGTGCTGAACTCGTACCCACCCACGACTCGAAACCATCCCCGTATGACAACAACACACGGACGTCCGCCCCTCTTCCTCTTCCCCACCCCTCTCCCTCTGTCTCCCTCCCTCCCTCCCACTCTCCTCCTCTCTCTTTCCCTCTTTCTCTCTCTCTCTCTCCCTCTCTCTGTCTCTCTCTCTCTGTCTCTGCCTCCCCCTCCCTCCCACTCTCTTCCTCTCTCTTCCTCTCTACCTCTTTCCCTCTCTCTTCTCACCGGCCAGTGAGCGGCGTACAATTACGTCCGTATCGAGGTAGATGCCGCCGTGGTGCAACAGCACTGCAACGCGCACCGCGTCGCTCATGTGGACCGCCGGCCAGGGCGACCGCAGCACGGCGCGACTCTGGTACCACCGCTCGAACAGCGTGTCGGCGAACAGCGACCCAAAGTCGAGCCGAGCCAGGATTATGTTGTTGCGCTCCAGCAGCCGGTCGGTGAGCGCGGAGCGGCGCAGGCGTGGCGCTGCGGCTAGCAACACGACGAGCATGCTCGGGTGCGCGGACGCCGCCGACTCAACGGTGCACCACTCGCGCGGGGTGATGTGGCGCCGGCCCGACGTCTCCAGCAGGAAGATACAGCCGTCGGGCGGGAGCGGCGGCGCCACAGGCACAGTCAGCCAGCGCTCCGAGTCGACGGCCGCAGGAGGAGGCCCGCGCTCAGCGGCGGCAGGGTAGAAGACGGCCACGAGCGCCGGGTCGGGACGCCACCACACCAGCCAGAGCAGGAAGAAAAGCAGCGGCGCGGCGGCGCTCAGCGGCAGCCAATGACGTCGCCGGCTGCAGCCGACGCGCGCCCACATCCCGCCAAACATCGGTACTGCACACGCCAGCGATCCGCCAGCGCCGATGCGGACGGGAGAGTCGATCGATCGCATTATCTGTGTATGGTAAAAAGTGTCGCTCCTGTGGCCAGCTTGTTTAGGTTCGCTCTGCGATCGCGCAAGTGTCCTGGTCGCCTCGACGCGTGACGTCACTCGGTGCACTTTACGCCCGGCGATGGTACTGGATCGTCCGCCAGATGTTATTATCAGCACTATGTGCTAGAGACATCCATTGCAACCCGGCACACCTTCTGGCTTGTTCAATCTATGTGGCAAACGCGATGACGCGGACGAAACAGAGTGTGTTTTTCCCACCTCAAAATTCACGATGCACGCGGGGTACGCTGGGTGCCGTCCGGGCGTTTTGGGCGCCGGCTGTACCAGCTGGTCACTCGTCCACCAACGGTGCTGTGACCCTCTGGTTGGGTGGTCGTGTCGTGGCTCCGGTCACGCTCGCGGCACCGCCTGGTCCCACCCGGCGCGGCAGTCACACCCGCACCCGCCGCCCGCCCGTCCTCCACCGCGCTGGAACACCGTCTGTCAAAACATGCACGCAGACCCGTTGCTTCATGCAGACCACCACCTGCCCCGTACCCCTCCCCAGCCTCCGCTGTCGGCACGCCGCGCGCCGGAGGTGGCCTTAGGGAGACAAATTAATTGGACAACCGGAATGCCCACTTTTATCACCAAAATACCCACCCTGATCACCAACCTGAACCAGCAAGCCGAAATGGCCAGCTCATTACCGAAAGGCTAAGCCATCAACAATCGTGCAAGTTCATCATCAAAATTTGGTTTAATAAGCCGACCAGGCCTCGAGGGTACAGGTGAAAGGGACATCATCACGAAAGTGAATCACATCATAACCGAGAGAGCAGCAGCTTGTCGCTCTCCGCAGCGTAATTGATATCAACTCCCTGCGATCCCATCCCACCCGTGGCCCTATAGGGGCTTAAGTCGCTATAAACGTACTGGCAGGTGTACATCTAAGACAACTAGACACTAGACAACTAGACACTGAGTCCCAGAGCACGCACAACAACTCTGCTTAGCGTAAGCTCTCGTCTCAAACGCATGGAGTCAGAAGGTTTTAAAGACAGTGATGGCAACAGTACAATATTTTCCCCAAGCCCGTATATGGACTGCAGTATGGACGACAGATAGGACCATCGGGCCACGTCTAAAACAAGGCCCGGGTCTCTTTTAAGGCCCGGACCTAGGGGCCCTGAACGGCCACTGTTCTGTTCTAGAGTGCGTGACTGGTCAGACCCTTATATTGTCTCATTTTGGATCATTTCTTTGCCATTTCTCGTATTTCCATCCCATGTCAGGCAAGAGGGGCTCGACCAACACAAGTGACTTTCTGACATTCAGGGCCCCGTCCTGTCCCCCTTCAGCAAAATGAGCCTGTGGCCAACTAGGAGCCCCTTGCCGACACAGGCCCCCGTGTTAAGTACTCTGTCTTGTTACAGGGAGCCACCTTGTTTCATGAGTCCCACCAACTCAGGAGGCCTTCAGTGACAATTGCGGACGCCGGCCTTGTCGCTGCTTAGTAAATGGATGCCTTCTTCTAAGCCTTCTCAGAGCCAACTGCTCAGCTTCGACAGTCTCGGACCTACGTAGAAGCCTTCGTCATCACGGGAGCACCGACAGGCGCAACGAGTCCCTTTGGCTGACCTTTGAGGGCCTAGACCTTCACCCCGGGGTCGTACCCCGGCCAGCACTTCAGGGGCCTCCAATCTGGCCCTTGAAAGTCTGTGCCGATGGTTCCGAAGGCCACTCAGGGCCTAGCGGGAGAATATGTCCCCACCACTACCAGCTGGCTGCCCTCCTGGATGTTTAGGCATGCCCGAAACTCAATGCTAGTTAGCGACTCGCTCTCAGAATGCACATCCAATGTGATTATTGGTAGACGTGTCCCGAAACATTCACAAGTTGATGTCCAGTTTGGCTTAAAATATTGCCATTTTTGCTGGTGGGCTTAATATTTTCGATTCTGCTGCAAATTTTTGATTTCCTACTGCATCTTGGTGATTATTTCACCCATCTGGTGGAACCTCAGCCCAGCTGGTGGATAATAGTGTTTCTGGACACTTGTCTCGAATATGTGGTGAATTAAGTACGCATTATGGTTAGAGAGTTCATTGAAACGGCGTTAAAAGCAACCATATTAGTGAAAAACATTCAATCGGTGAATTGTATGTTTTGATGCGGATGTATCCAATTTGGTGCGGTGGTCATTTAGTTCCTCAGCCTGTTTTTGGTGACGGATTAGTAGGGACCCGTGACCTTTCTCTCTCGTGACGTCACCCACGGTATGTGGTCAAACAGGATCGTGACGGCAACTAGGACAGGCCAGTGTTCTAGAGAGATTTGTGGACAGAAATGTTTCTATAGATAACTTTGCAAAACGCTGCAATCACTTTCGTCTGACCCTAGATCGCCATTCTCGTGTTTCGCGTGGTGCTTTACGCCTGGCGCTTCCTGCGAGACGAAATCAAGGTCGGATCCAGGGGAAGAGGGCAACCGAACCATGCTTCCGAAAGATGGTCTAAGTTTTTTTCTCTAAAAAGCTGAGATTTCTACAGTCTAGGCCTAGAAGAAAGCACAGTAACTTTTACTAGGGGGAGTTTGATGGAAACCAAGGAGAGTTTGGTGGGGGTGAGGTTTGACAGGGATCCTTTGCGGTGGCCCCGCTGGATCATACTGTGTGAAAAGCGTGGGCGGTGTCATCATGAGCGGTGGCTGACCCAGACCGGGTCACTGGCCTCCAGTCCAGTCTTGACAAGACCGGTTAGACATACGTGACTGTGTGTACCTACATATATACATACATATGCATATGTATATATATATATATATATATATATATATATATATATATATTTCCTTATGCTAGTATGCTATGTATATATATATATATATATATATATATATAAGCTATATATATATATATATCTTATGCTTGTTTGAACTTTTGGTTTTATTCTTGTTTTGTTTTCACACCAATCGAGTGTTCATTTCTGTTGGCAAACCATGAAATGATTTTTTGTTGACCGCTGACTGTTGACTGTTGACATGAAATAATTGACTGCAATGTTTTATCTAAAGAATCATCAGGTTTGTTGTGCGGAACTAAATTCAGAATGGTACACATAAAGAACGTTTAAAACCAAAATGTAAAGGTAAAAAAAAAAAACGGGTCGCAGCAGACCCACGCGGCCACCAAGCCGCGACAGACACGCGCGGCCACCAAGTCGCAGTCGGCCCGCGCGGTCACCAGATCCCAGAAGACGTTCACGGAAGCTGCTCTGCCGTCTACCTCGGGCCACGGCCAACGGGTAAGCAGACTAAAGCTGTATCCCATCAGCATCATGCCCGAACGCCAGTACGGCAGCACCAGTGCGGCCGCGTCGCGGTTCGCGTGTGGTAGCGCTGGACCGCCCCTATCAGCGGCAGCCAGCTGCTCCGATCCCCTCCGGCTCCAGCAGGCCGGCTCCTCTCCCATGTGTAGTTACATCAGCCTCTTCTGCCCCATATGCGCCAAACTCGGACCATCCTCCTCGGACTGTCAGCATGCCCGGCCACTCCTCTGACGCGGCCCACACTATCACCGCGCGTCCCGACAGCGCGCGGTCCAAGGACCGTCCTCCGAACGCGCGCTCCTCTGGCGGCGGCGTCTGAAAGTATTGCAGGGTAGCCGTAGTCACGGTCACGTCACTCCATGGTCACGTCCGGACGCCTGGTGGCCAAAAATGGAAGTATCGTTGTCACTGCTGAAAACAGGTGAAAGGATAACGGCAGAGCGTTGCAGGATGAGCTACAAGTGAAGTTTGCATCGTGTGTAAATGGCGGGAGGAAAGGCACTGCACTGTCTAAACCGTGGTAAGAAAGGTATTGCACTGAAAATAATTTGCCACGAGTGAAGACGTACACACGAAGACGTATTGGCAACAGATAGGCAGGAACATCAGGCCTGTCTTCGTGCCGATAACGAACAATTTGTTAGCGTCAGATGTATGTGACCAGCGAGCCGATTGTGTACGGGAGCGGATCTAGCATGGAGTTTTTTTTTGGGGGGGGGCAACCTTTCCTCACCAGCTGGCTGGTGTGGGATCCGAGGTCCAGTGCACTCATCAAGCACGATGATTGCGCCGGGCGTGACTAAGCCACGTCAACATGCGTTTTGTTTTGTTATTCAAATCACTGCCAACTTTTCTTCATGAGGTTTTTTCCCCGAAACGGAAATAAATGTTCGATACCACACCATGAAAGTTAAAATAGACGGTAAGAAGGCGAAACTTTTATGAAGTCCTGGGAATGTTTTTCGGGGGGGGGGGGCAAAACAAACTCTTAGAGTTTTGGGAAGGGGCATGGCCCCGTGGCCCCACCCCAGGATCCGCCTATGGTTGTGTAAGATTTAGCGACAAACCTGATGATATACATGAAAGCTTTAAACGGAGTGTGCCTAGCCAGGATTAGATTTAGGATTTGTCATCGTGCGCATTCATTAAAGAGAACTGTGATTTACATCAATTGGTTTGCCTCCCGCATCCATTATTTGGCTTGGAACTCGGCGAAAGAGCAGCCCCTGGCATATGTGTGCAAACACGGGTGTCGATTTTTCAAAATGATTGTGTCATTGTGAAAATGATTGGGGGGCCAGGGTTTTAGAAGTCGCCATGAGGAGACAGGTATTAAAAACTTATCTATACAAACTAAAAACTATACACACATATATATATATATATATATATATAAACTACACTAACCACACATCTTTAACCCCATGTGCGTAGCCAGAGCAATCGCATTTGGAAGCATGGCCAAAATGGAGCCAAAAAGTTAAACTCACCTACCCTCAAATGATGGTCTCTCTCTGGATTTTGGCTACTTATATTTTTGTCCCTGGTGTTAAATTAAGCCTATGAATGTATGATGGGTTCCAAACTTGTTCTGGTGCTGAAAAATGCTTACCTTTTAAAACCGATGTGACGATTATAATGAAGATAAACGAAGATCATTATATAGATAGTGATGTGCTTAGGATCCACAACACAAACAGTTCAGACACTAGCTGCACTTTCTTGGCCCAGCGTTTCCTTTATCGCTTAGATGCATTAGAAACGGTGGGTTCAGTAAAGCATTGCAGACCCTTAAAGAGAGTGTTCCACATTTGTATAGGAGTTTGAACTGAAGCAGCCATTTTGAAAATCATTTGGTGCAGGTCACAGCCGTGCCGTTTTTAAAGGCAATGTTCCTAATTTGAATACATCGAAACAAACATGAAGTATATTGAACTAAGCTCACTTATAACTATATGCACATTTCTCAGTGAACAAAGCTGATTTAGGTGATACAATTTCGCTGTTAAGTGAATATGACCGTCAAGATGTCATTCTTAATTACGTCATCGTACCTTGCATAACATTGCTTGTTTCCCTATCGACGGCCGTTATGTCTTGAAAACGTGCTCACGAACGCCAGATGTGAGCAACTCGACAACTTATATTTTCCTTGGCTTTGATCGCCGCATAGCTAATAGAATGGCAGAATTTGAATGACGTTATTATGGCGTCATGGATGCCTGGATGACCTCGAAATAGTCCCTCCGAAATATTCTGCACATCTTTGCGGTCGTATAGCTCAGAAACTAGATAGGTTTAGGTCCTTAGAACGGCGGAGCTGTGAACTACACAGAATGATCTTCAAAATGGCCAGGCCAGTTCAAAGCCCCATACAAATGTATAGCACTTTCTTCAAAGTTAATGTTCCACAATTAAATATATTGAAGCAAGCATCAGATTTGATGAAACAAACTCGCTTATAAAGATTGCTCCATACAACACGATTTTTTTGTTTGGTATATGTGTTTCTCAGTACGGCCTTGTTTGATTACGTCAACGTACCTTGCACAACGTTCAGAGGCAATTTGTGATTGCTGTACCTGGAAGTCGTGCTCATGAACGCCAGATATAAACGACTGGACCATTATATTTCTTATAAACTTTGATTTACGCATTGCTTATGAGGTGGCAAAATTTGAATGGCGTTATTATGACACTATCAATGCCAAGATGACATTAAATTACTCTCCCACAAAAAACTCATGTTCACGGGTGTGCAGCCCGGAAACTAGGCAGGGTTAGTTCTTAAGGAGGACGGGGCTGTGAATTGCACCGAAAGATCTTTAAGATGGCTCCTTCAGTTGGAGATCCCATGCAAATGTGAAACACCCCCTGTAAAATATAATTTCCTTCTGCCACCCCATAGGCCTCAAATCGTTTAAGGCCCATAAGAACACTTTTACCAGCTATTCAATCTGGCATCCGTGGGCACGATTGCCAGTTCTGGTGCACGTCAATTGGCTCGCATTCAACAATAAGCGAGCCATGCAAGTTTCAGTCGCAAATCGGCTTTTGTGCCGCGTAATATAAGATGCTGGACTTGGTCGCTAGTTACTACGGAAAAGCGGCTTGCAATTGAAAAATTTAGAAATGGCACGATAACGGAACATGTGAATATCAGTTGACTTTTTAAACTTACGGATTAATGTGTAAGAGCACCACGAGACAGTGGCGAAACACCAGCACATAACGTTCTATTTTGCTCAGCTGGCGCTTCCAGCACCACTACTGCCATCTTTGAGCGAGTTGAAGTACTACATATGAGTGCTAGGGTGGCAGTTTAATAAATTGAGAAACTTTGTCTTGTATTGTAGTCTTTTTCACTCAAAACGAACCAATCGCTATACGTGAGCTCATAGCATCATATCTGATGCCTGCTTCGATATCTTCAAATATGCAATATTCCCTTAAAGTCAGCATTAGCAAGTCAGCGGCAAGCCAGCACGATTTTAAGTCAGTCAGTCACCGAGTCAGGGCCCTCTGTCAGGCACTGCGGGCTCCTGACCGACACAGAGGCCTCCTTGTTTCAGGGCACCCACTCCCGACCACTGCAACTCGCTTGACCAACGCAAATTGGATCCCAGTCTTCCCTTGCTTGGGAAATGGCCCACCGGGGCTGAGGCCGACACGAAGCAGTGTTCGTTGTTGTTGGTGTGTGACCAAAATAGAGGCACGCATTGTCCTCCGGGCTCTAGCCCTAGTCTAGCCCTAGTCTAGCGTCTCTTGCACCTCAACGGTGCAAGAGACTCTCCGACTGGTATATCTGAGAGCCCGGCCCTGAAGACAGGTGGCCGGGGGAAACGCGCCCGGAATGTCAGATCTGACGCTTGAGTAACCTGATGGCAAACCCGTCACGTGTCATGGTCGTTACTTCTTCACCAGATGGATGCATCTTCACGAAAAAGGCTAGGGGGCCGGGCGGGGGGACTCTTGACTTGAATAAAACAAAAAGTGGTTTATTTCCGGATTTGATCCAAATTCCTGTCAACGTAATGGAGTTGGATTTCTACCCAATCGCATATAAACCGGGATGGAGGAGAATGGATATGATTGGTGGAACAGGACATGTGTGAAACAGACCACCCACCGAGCAGAAGCCCGCGCAGGGACCCCTCTGTGGGGCATGCGCTGAGCATCCGGTCGGGGCTGCCTCTCAACGGACCTCTCAGCCCACTCGTGGCGGACGCATGCAGCCTGCCACAGACAGGCGGGGCGTCGCCAGGACGGTGGGTGGAACAAGAAAGAGGATGGAAGTGTCGGATATTCTAGCACAGTTTGGTTATTTAGAGTAGGGCCCTTTCGACCAGATATGATCATTTCAAGGGAATGGGATTAAGCCGTATTGATAACAGTGGGGCAGGACTACATGCGCCTGGGAGCCAACCGCCGAGCCTTACCCCATGCAGGGACTCCTCTGCGGGGTGTGCGCCGGTTACCCGGTCGAAGTCGGCCTACCCCTTGTGCTTTCCAAATTTGAGTGCGAGGCGGGTACGGGTATTCAAAATATACACATGGTAGGTCCAGGCACTACCCAGTGCTATCACTAGACTTAACTGGTCATGAGGTTTCGCCAGTGTTTTTAGAATATGCTCCTAGACAGAGACAGTCCTTTTGAGGACACTGAAAGCCTGTGTAGCGACTGACGACGTTTGGAATGTGCACTCTCTTTCCCAACTCAAAATATCCGTCTCTATCCAGGACTTATGTCCAAGAAGGTGAGCCACGATGGATTCGGGTCCCGCCCTGACACACCAATGGACCTGTCCCTCTATCGGTTCTGCTCCAGTTCAGATGTCCAGATGCTCATACTAGGCAGATACATTGTGTGGTCTGGAGGTGTCTTATTTACTTAAAAGTATACTTTCTTACGTTTGCTTTATTATCTACAAATGTGAAACATTGCATTGCATGGAGGGCAAGACACAAAGGAAGACCTCCAGAGGTCTTGCCTTGAACGCTCGTCCTCCTGCTTAGCCTTAGCCATTCCCGATGACATCCATACTCCCGCATGGTCTAGTGGCTAGAATACACGGTTCTACCCCTTGAGGCCTGGGTTCGATTCCCAGGGCAGGAAATGGAGCAGCTGTTTCTTAGTTCTTAG